CAGAAAACTTCAGTCCCAAGCTCTCCAGGCTCAGAAAAACTATCCTTAGGCTCAGACTCTTCCTTCTCATAGGAGAACTCCATGTTTCTCCTGATCTAAAAATTCTCTCTGTCTGAATCTCATACTTGTTGCTATAACTGTGAAAGTCTAGGCAGCAAATAAGAATAGAGGGCACAGGAGCACCTTCTTACATATCTCTATACTCTGATTTAATCCCACAGGACTTTGTCTCTTGATCTGTGACTGTTTCTTCTAGCTCACAACCAATGTGTTGCAAGTTGTAGGTCTTTGTGAATATTCCAAAGAATCTTGTTTTCCTTGCTAGGCGTGTCTTCCCTCTGACACCTGAAATCTATCTGTTGTAGGACCAGGATTCCTCAGTGGCAGCCACATTATCTATAGAATTCTATGTCTATGGTATAACTAACATGTGGAAGTTATGGGATATAAGTCCATTAGCTCGTACACACATGCAGGGAGTCTGCTCCAAATAAGCTGGAAATCCAGTGCATTGGAGTAGACTTGATTAATCAAATCTGCTGGAGCAGGGAAATTGATGCATTTCGGCAGCCTCAATTGTCATGTGTATTAGCATTACTGTGTGTCTTTGTGCTGACAAAATGGTGATGGTGCGCTTTGAAATAAAACATTGTCCGATAAGCTTTAGTTCAAAGTACACCGCTACCATTTGTTAGCATAGAGACGTGTGGCGATGCTGATACATTGATGCGCAGGCGCTTTTAATTAGCACAGCTCGCTAATTAAAGTGCACTGCACCAGGAGCACATGTAAAAATGCCCTAATGTGTAATGGGATATCCCCCTCATGCTGTCTGAGGAGTTATTCTTCGATTTAGCCTTTGAAAAATGATGTTTTGTTTCACTCACTGTAGGTCCCATTAAATGTGCAGATCAATGTTGTTAACCTATCTATACCAGTTCTGAATCCTTGCAGCTCCCCCAGGTCTGTGTATAAAGAGAGTGCCTAATCTGTGCAACAGGGGAAACAGAAATGGCAACACAGCTGTAACTTTCCCTGAACTGGAGACTGGGGGGGACAGTGCATGTTCCCTTCCCCCTGACCTTGTTCCTACAAGTGTAAGCCTGCATATGTGCTGCATATTGTCTTGCCTGCTCCTTGACCCATTACCTTGAGAGGATCCTTTGCATGGTCGTAGGAAGGCGGCCATGCTTCCTGAGGTAATTGATACTACCACCTCCATAATTATCTTCCATCCTTAGACCTCATGATCATAACCTGACTCTGAGAAACTTACTGAAATAGAGTGGAATGTGTGAAGCTCCTGTGCAAAGGACTTCAGTGAGGCAAATTATTTAATAGATTTCATAGATTTTCATAGACATTCAGGCTGAAAGGGACCCTGGGGGATCATCAAGTCCAGCCCCCTGCCCCAGGGGCAGGAAGTCATCAAGGATCATAGGATCCCAGCAAGATAAGCATCCAAATGTGTCTTGAAGGCATTCAAAGTGGGTGTTTGAACCACCTCTGGTGGGAATCTATTCCAAACCTTGGGGGCTCAGACAGTAAAGAAGTTCTTTCTTATGTCCAGCCTGAATCAGTTGTGGTGGAGTTTGTGACCATTTGATCTTGTAACCCCTTGGGGCGCTCTGGTGAACAGACATTCCCCCAGATCTTGATCAGCACCCCTAATAAACTTATAGGTGGCCACCAGATCACCCCTGAGCCTGTGGTTTTCCAGGCTGAAGAGTCCCATGGCTCTCAGCCTGTCATCATAAGGTCTGTTTTCCTGACCTCTGATCCTGCACGTGGCTCTCCTCTGTACTCTTTCAAGCTTCTCTACATCCTTTTTGAATTGTGGAGCCCAAAACTGGACACAGTACTCCAGCTGCGGCCTCACCAAGGCTGAGTACAATGGGAGAATGATGTCCCGGGATTTGCTTGCGAAGCACTGAATGGATGCAAGCCAGCGTTTTGCTTGCTTTACTAGCCGCAGCATCACATTGATGGCTCATGTTCATTTTGTGGTCAGTCATGACCCCCAAGTCCTTTTCATCTTTAATGCTAACCAGCATAGCACTGCCCACCTATAAGCATGCTGCAGGTTTTTCCTCCCAAGGTGGAGAACCTTGCATTTTTTGGTGTTGAACACCATCAGGTTCTCATCCACCCATTTTCTGAGCCTGTCAAGATCTGCCTGGATCGCCCTCCTGTCCTCAGGTGTGGATGCTTTACCCCAGAGTTTGGTGCCATCGGCAAACTTGGCCAGTCCACTTCTAACATCAATGTCCACATCATTGATGAAGATGTTAAACAGTATAGGCCCTAGGACAGAGCCTTGAGTGACCCCACTGGTGACTGCACATCAAGATGATTGGCCTCCATCAACCACCACCCTTTGGGTCCTACCGCGGAGCCAATTCTCCAGCCAGCAGATTGTGGTGAGGTCGAGGCCGCAGTTAGCCAGTTTTGCCAAGAGGTGATCGTGGGATACCAGATCGAAGGCTTTTTTAAAGTCAAGATATATGACATCAATCTCTTCTCCCTTGTCCAAGTGACAGGTCACCTGGTCATAAAAGGAAATGAGATTGGTCAAGCAAGAACTACCCTCAGCAAACCCGTGCTGGCTATCTCTCAGGATATTGCCATCAGCTAGTCTGCTAAGGATGGCCTCTTTGATAATCTTTTCCAAGACTGAAAATGTGTGCTTCTCTGCATACAGAGTATAACCAATAATGTGTTTACAGATAGAATTGTAAACATTTATCATTCAAAAGCAAAATACTATGCTATTACCAGCAGGATTTTTCTCACATGTTCAGCTCTTGCAGGTCTTGATGATATCTGTGGGAGTTGCAGGTGCTCAGAACCTCACGAAGTACATCTGGTATGTTTTAGTTCTCTTTTAAATCTCTGCCAGCCCAGAACTTGCTATTTGGAATGTCAGCACCAATGTATGGAACGTTAGTAAGAGATGAAATTGTGCTGTTGAATGAGATAATCTTTATTGTCTTTTGTGACAGACACAAGGGGCACATCTACACATTCATTAATGCACTTTTGCTGCTGTGTATTCAATTTAGTACCTCTAATGTGAGGTACTAAATAAATGCGCATTCAGCTGCCCTAAGGCACAGTAGCAAAAGTGCATGCTATTTTAGTGACAATACGCAATAACCTATTTTTACTGTGCATTAATGTATTGGCACAATTTTGGACATGACACATTAATGCACAGTAAATTAGGCTACTGTCCATTAAAGTGCATGTGTGGACATGGCCAAGAAGTGGGAATTGCTGACAGAGAACCTCTTTCTGTATCTCTGGGCCAAATTCTATAGGCCCGAATTTTCAAGTTTGACTGGTTTTTAAATTCATATTTGGTTTCTAAATACTCAGAGCTGGATTTTGGGAGGGTGATGTATGAATGCTTGGCATCTGAAAAAATGAGGGCATTTTTATTTAGGTACTTCAATATCCATATAAGAGTTTAACTATAATTACCTGGCTTGAAAACATGGCTAAAATCTATACTGCATGACTGTGTTATTGTGCAGTACTACTATACTGTACTACTGTACATATTTAGCACCTGGGAACTCAATATATCTTTATTTATTTATTTTATTTTTAGTTTTTGATGGAACAACTGTGAAACACTACAGGATCAGAAAGATGGATGAAGGGACCTTTTTTTTAAGCAGAAGGAAGATTTTTAAAACCTTGAAAGATTTTGTTGACTACTATAGTAAGGATGGTGATGGACTCTGTGTAACACTTGGGAACCCATGTATAAAGGTAAAGCTTGTTCTGAATTATGAAAGAAATTTTTTCAACTAACCTTTTAGTTATCAGTCATAAGATATTAGGTTGCAAAATGGTGATGATCTGATTATTTTAGGAGGTCGTGGGTAGCAGTACTATTTCATTCTTGAAGCTGAGACATTAATAATAAAACACTATTGCATTTTGGACAAATAATTTTGTAGGTAGAGGAGAAAATGTGCCAACTTGTGATTTATGAATAGCTGTGTGTAAACGTATATTGAGATGAAATCGTCAAGTTCATGACTTTTGCTGTCTATAAGTAATTACAGAGACAAAACCATCAAGTTCAAGCAGGCAATATTTCACTGTTCAAAAAACTTGCTGGGGGATGATTTCTTTTTTATGCAGGGGTATCTTCTTTGGAGCTAAAATAACCTTTTTTGTAATAAGAGTTGAATGTTATAGTAAAGCTATACATTCTGATATGTATTTTTCATCAAGCATGCTTCATGTAAATATTCACTCTTTATAATTGAAACTTCATTTGGAATGTGTATAACAAAGATTGACACATAATCCTGAAACAAAATATGTAGTATTTGTGTTGTTTCTTTTTTTCCTACCCCAGAAAGAAATTCCTACTCCTTTTGATTTGTCATACAAAACGGTGGATCATTGGGAGATTGACCGAAAATCTCTGAAACTGTTGAAAAAATTAGGCTCTGGCCAGTTTGGTGAGGTGTGGGAAGGATTATGGAATCACAATACCCCAGTGGCTATTAAAACATTGAAGCCAGGTATGTCAAGCATCACTCAGATTTGCTGACTACAGTACTTGTTATATTTTGCAAGTACTCTCTTAGAGAAAAACACTAATGCTTAAAGACTTGTGGAACTCATCTTTTTAAAGGTATGTAAAATGTGGCCCTTGTACCTTGAGATCCTTTGATGATCCCATGGCATTTTTCACTGAAGTTAGACAGGCTGCCTCCCCATGACTGATTCTTTTGGGTCTTTTGTTGTTTGCCTTTGCACACCACATGGAAAACCAAATAGCTGGTCTGTTTCATCGTATTTTATCAGTAGCTGAAGCAATCAGTTTAGCTTTAATCTATAATCTGTAAAACTCCGTCTGCTAGTCCGCTATATTACTATAATATTTTATTGGTATAGAATCTGTAGTACATAAATTTTCCTGTTGCTGTTTAGAGTTATATAAAATAAAATGCCTGAGTCTAAGTAATAATTGGAAATGTGATAGCAGTAGAAGTACTGGCATACTCTACTAATTGCTGATGTTTCTTGTGGATCCTTTGTGAATAATGTAGCTTCTATTTGATTTTTTTCTTTACATATTTAATTATTTTAAAATTTCTTTTACTTCATAAAGCAATAACATGTACCGGCAGATAGCACAAATTCCATAGGCACCCAAGTGATAACACCATTGTGTTTCATTTAAAATGATTCAAAATGCTTTTGTTGTAACAGGTTGGATTCAGGAAAATTCTTATTTTAAAAAACCTGTAACACTTTCCTGAATAGAGGTAGACTTAACCATGTGCTTAAATGGGTTATTGACATTGAAACAATAGTTGCAATATGCGCAAAGCAACTGAAACAAAAAAATAAAAGACTTTTTCCACTAGATTCTAAGTGAAGGAAAAGCTCATATATGGGGCTTCTTACAACATGGAAGCCCCATATATGAGGCTATGTGAGACATACTTACTTCATAGATACTGTTTGTTTCTGGCATTAATGATTTACTAGAGTTAGGTCACCTGAGTTAAATTCTCTTAAGCATCTGACACAGCAGATATACAGATTATTGAGAGGGAAAGAAGAGTTTGCCCTGAACAGTGAAGCATAATTTTTAAACAACTGCATAAAATAAGAGAGCATTAAATAGAGGGTGTGAGGAAGGGAAGCAAATAAAATGGGTAGCCTCAAATGAATTATTGGCTTTTTACTGTCTTTATTAAAATAACTTTTGATTAGTAGGATCCTGGGAAAAGGATTATCTTTTCTTTCCTTTCCCTTCCTCTTCCTCTTCCCTGCCCTATCAAATTCTGGATGAAATACAACAATTGCACGTCAAACTTTTTTTGTGGGTGGACACCCACGCAGAGCATATAGCAGAGTTGTGTTCCGAAGTGGAAGGCTCTTTTTGATTTTTATTTCCTTTCAATTTTTCTTTTTGAAACATGTTTTATATATAAATTTGCTTCTGTTTAAGGAAACACCTTGAAACAAACATGAAAATGAAGGAAACCTTTTTGTTGGATGTCAAGCACATGGTTTCATTCAGTTTACAATGTAACTTGTTTTGACTCTGCTTAACTAGAAAAAGCTATTCTTTTAAGTTTCAGGTTCCTGTAAAATGATTTTTTATTTGATTTTTTTTTTGGATTGGCTAATGAGCCAAAAGTGTTTAATTATTTGTATCATCCTAATGAAAACCGCAGTTCATCCCATTTTTTTTAATTATGTTTTTGCCTTCTCTCCTGATCATACAACTTGGCTTCTCTGATTTATTATCAATTATCAGAACCTTCCATATTGCAAACTTCTTTGGAAGACAATTTATAAAACAAAGCAGAGAAAGCTTACTTCCCTAAATGAGTGAGAGCATGGGGTCTGAAGGGAGGATAGTGCCAGATTGTCTTTTTTCCCCTTTTTCTAACAGAAGTTTGAAAAGTTTAACAGATATTTCACTTCTCCCAGCACTCTACATTTAAAAGCATGATTCCACTTTTGATTTTTCATCACTTCTGTAAGTCAAGAAATTCTTGCTTCATCCCTTGATCTTGCAAAAGGAAACGTTGGGTAGAAAGATATTAAGGTTTAAAAGAAAGACTAATGATCTTGGATGTCCTGATCTTTAGGGTACTCAGCTTGATGCATAGTTGTACTGATTCTCAAAGGGTATCAGAATCCTTAGTCCATCTTTTGAAATGTCAGAGCTCAGCGTCTTTAAAATCAGGCTCGAGGTGTATTAGGTTGAACAGTGTAAATCAGTGGCGATGTTGGGCTCCCAACATGTTTTTTTTAAAACTATTTTGATCTTAATCTCTCTGTGCTTCTTTCTAAAATGGGGCTAATATTTTTCCAAAATCTTGTAAAGTGTTTGGCGATCTTCCTATTGATAACTCTATGAAATAATGTCTTTGATGGATATAGGCAGACAAGGTTCTTTGGGTAAATGCAATACCATTTATTGGACCAACTAAATAGTTGGAAAAATTGTTCTTTGCAAGCTTTTGGGTACAATCACCCTTCTCTAAGCATATAGTGGGTCTGCTGGAGAACTGTATGCTTTCCTGTATAGAATAGAAGCCAAACTAATGATTATGACATTAGGAACCAAACCAAACTTTGTGTCTACCAAGCTGTTGTCATCTTTAACCTATTGTGTGGATGTGAAGCTTGGATGGCATATTGGAAACACCTGAACGCTTTGGAATGTAACCTTCAGTTATGTCCTCCATATCCAGTTGGAAGTACAGAAGAACTCCAATCCTCCATATAACTTGGAAGTACAGAAGAACTAATGCCAGCATTCTGGCGCAGGCAAACACCATCAGCATTGAAACAATGTTTCTATGGCACCAGCTTCATTGGACAGGATATCTCATAAGGATTTCCGACTAGCCAAAGTACCTGGCTTCGCACGGGTTGCAGTAATCAAATTTTAATCTTATCTTATTTCCCTCTACTAATAAACTGTGTTTATGTATTTAGTTTTGTACCCTATTTTACTTGTGTGATACAGCTTGACACTGTGAGCTTTTGGTCATACCAAAACCCTATAAAAGTTGAACATTCAAATGTATTAAACAACTGAATTGTGAGGTAGAATTACTTATTTACTTTGTAAGTCTTAAGCATAGCACTGAGGATTTCACATCACATTTTTCTATCCCAGTTTATGACGGGATAGAAAAATGTTTAACACTTTTTTATTCATGTAGAGCTTCAGGATAGACAGTGTTGCATGTTTTGCCATCTGGTGCCAAGATGAAAAGGTTTTTGCCATTGCCAGCTCTGGAACAACCAACATAGAGTTGGCCATGAGAAAAGCATGGGTTTCGCAGGTTGAGGCCAACAACTTTGAGTGATTGTCCCTGTGCCTTGTTGATGCTCATGGCAAACCTGAGGCAGATAGGGAACTGGAGCTGTTTAAATGGAAATGGCAGGTCAGAGGGAATGATTGGAATGTATGGAATGAAGACATCCTGTCCCGCTGCATGGCCAGTCATGATGGTGGCTTCAATGACATGTGGCATGAGCTTCTTGACAGCCAATCACATTCCATTACAGAGTGCTGTTGGGTCCAGATTCCTGAGAAGAATGATGGGTGCACCAATCTTGAGCTCCAGATTGTGTGAAGGCACATCTGGTTGTTTGAGAGAATTGAGAAATTCTGCTGGGTAGCTGACTGCCTCATTGGTGTCTGGGACAGTCTCATAGTTTTGCACATATGTCATGGCATACTGTGTGTGCTCATGCATGTAGCGAGGCATACCTGTGAAACTGGAAGGCAAGATGACCAGTTGGCCAATGTTGGCAGCATCTCCATCATTGTTCATGGCATCCCTGAGGTGAACATAGTTTTCAACTCTCAGTTTCTTTTGGTTCATTTGAATGAATCTCAACCTTTCTGCTTCAGTTTTGGTGCACCACAGCAAATTGGTGGAAGTGATCTTTGCATTGCAAGATGTGATTGAAACTTCTAGCTCACAACATCATCCTGTAGGCATAAAAGTCCATGGCAGAAATCTTCTTTTGAGTTGGCAGCCCCAATGCTGGGTTTGTTTGTCACACTTCAAAATGGTAGCCATCATCACCCTGCCAGAAAATTTGTGGATACTGAAGTGCATCATATGATCAGTGTGTCTCAGCCATTCTCTGGAGGGAGTTGTTCCTGAGTTGCAACACAATATCTCGATTGCCATGTTGTTCACCAGTCAGAATGACAGCCACGTCTGATGTTGTGGGTGCATTGAAGCGCCGCTCATGCTCACCAGCTGGAGTTTTGTCTGCACGAATGACAACATTATACTCTGGAGTCATCTTCTCCGTGGCACACTTGAAACTGTGAACATAGTTGTTTTCCTTGTGGAGCATGTCTTGCAACTGCAGCACCACCCACAGGTTGGTTTGAATGACATTGCTGCAACGCTCTTCAGCCTGCTTTGTATTGTCACCCATGAAGTAGATCTGCAGGAATTTAGGCTCTTCATTAGGGAGTGGCATCAGACTGCCAATCCTGCACTTTAAATGTAGGCGTGTAGCCAGATTCTCTGATGTCTTTTGTGGTGCCAGAAGATGTCATTTGGAAGCATGACTTGTATCTTCTAATGTTGCTTTGGAAATGGCGTGCATCTGGAGTGTTGCCTGTCAACAAAGTATGAAGGGGCTCAGGAGGATCATTTCACTTGGGGCAGTTGAACCTTGCCACTGTTGCAGCATATCCCTGGAGCTTCTCCTTTTCATCTCATTGCAAGGCAGTGGCTGCAAGAAGTCGCCATTGAGCCAGTTGCAACTATTGGATCAGAACCATAATCCAAGGCTGGGTTGTAGAAGAATGCAGAGTTTTCTTTTTCCCTCCAGGGCTGGTTCCTGTCTGCAGTCATTTCTGCTCTGTTTGCAGCTTGCTGTGCAGGAGTTTCATGTGCTCTGGATGCAGCCATTGCTGCTCTGTTTGTTTCTCATCTTGCAACTTGCTGCTTTGGAGTCTTAGCTGCTCTGGCTGCAGCTTTTGCAAGCCTATTTTTGGCAAGTTTGCTTCTTG